TAAGGGAGCCCGAGTTACAAGACTGCGTACTCTACTTCGCGGAAATCCACGTCGGAAACCTGATGATAACAGGCGACAAAAATTCACTCCGAGCCGGATGTCGCTCGGTGAATTCGCGCGCTTTCAACGTGCGTGTACACTATTCATTCGAAGCTACGCCAAAGAAAGGGGTCGTCGAGAAAATCGAGGAGAGACGCGACTCGAATCGATGACGACGTAGAAAAGAACCAATCTCTAAATGTCTTCAAACAAAATTTTACTCGATAGATAGAAGAAAGATGGCAGAGTCACTGGAATTCGAAATTGTCACTCAAATTCAGTGAATTCTCTATAATAAGTTGCCGAGCGAACATTCTCGCTCGAAATTCAAGAGTAAATCTCATGTATTCCATCGTCATAGAAACAAATTCATCCTGATCGATCGAAATATTTCTTTGTTTCAAATCAAAGTCCGCTCGAATGAAACATTCACTCTTCCAATTCCGAATGGCGGTATTTTCATTGTCATTCCGAGTGAATTTTCATTCGTTTTAGGTGAGATTTCACTCCAAGAAATTTCAAGAGCGCAACGGTGGTGGTGATCGTTATGTTATTCGATGGTCGGCGCGTCAGGCGGACGTCGGTCGTTCGCCGCGATTTAACGACCGTCGGAAGGACCGAATCATTACATCCGCGCGTGTTGTTTAATAGCGAGTTGATGCAATCCGCGGCGTATTGCCCGCCGCCACGCCACCGATTTATTAATCCGCATTTTTCACGGCCGCGACGACCTACGAAGAGTGCGCGCGCTCGGGCTCGCGCGAGCCGCATTCATCAGACCGGCAAGAGAGCCGTACTATCAGATCGCCCGGTAGAGAGAAAACGCAATAGCGTCGTAATTGCTCTCGTACGTCAATGACACTGGAAGATCTCGCCACTCCTCCTCTTCATTATACGCGGATAATCATAAGCCCCGTGGTGCGTACGTGTGTGAGCACACAATGCGCGCCTGGGCACACCCAGGCGATATCCGCGTTACGATAACGCACATGCGCGCCGAAATATTACGGATCGTAGTGCAATAAAATCGTGAGTAATCGGCGGGAATGATTAACCTGTTAAAGGATTTGGGCGTCTGTCGGATTGGACTTGAGTCTGTGCGAATTTCTGCGCATCGACACCTCTTGAGGTAATGACGTGTGAAACGCGAATTAGTTTAGTATAAAAGTGAACAATTCTTAACGGAACATTATTACATGCAACGAAAGGAAAAATTGCGCGCATTTTAAGAGTAAACGGATGTGTAATATTTTCGAAGTTCCATATGAACTTGAATGAAAATGATTGAAACGTCGACTGAATTGCCGTTTCTCCTTCAGGAGATTAATTTTCGCGACTTGAGCCGAATTTAAGTTAACGTGAAAATTGGATTTTGTATTCTAATAGTTTACAGTGAAGCGTGTGTTTATATGTTTGGCGATTTTGCGATCGGTCGGATTCGAGGAACGACGCTGCGTCGGCGGGTTCGCGATGCGGATTCGATTCCGATCCGGGGGAGGAAGGCTTCTCTCATTACGCTCCGCGCAACTCGAAACAGAGACGGAGCTGCCCGGCAGACGACAATTACAAAGGCCGGATATACACGCGCTCGGCCGATGCGCTGCGGGTCCGTCGTGCAAAATCTTGAATGCCCAAGTATCCTCTTTCCTCGAACCTCTTAGCGCTATTTAGCGGATCCTTTTACGGGACAGCAGGCCCCGACAAGAAAGGAGGGAAGGCACGACGTGCGGGCCGACGAAGGGTCGAAGCAAGAAGAGGCGAAAAAGACAAGAAAGAGAGAAAGAAAGAAAGAGAGAGAGAGCGAGATGGACGTAGAGGTGCAGGACGAAGGATGAAGAGAGCAGCGGAGGTGGAGTACCAAAATGGCGGAGTAAACCGAGGGACAAGATAAGCCTTTGTGCCCGCACGAGGGCCTACGGGGGCCCACGCGGGCCCGCGGCAACGGATCCCGTCGTCTCGGTCTCATATTTCGCGAATCCCGCTATCATATTTTACCGCTCGCCCTCTCCCCCTTCCTGCCCGTTTCCTCCACCGCGCCTCTACTCCGAGGGCCTGAGCGTTCCTCATTTTTTGTTATCTCGCTTTTCGGACCCTCGATTCCATCTACCAGTTTCTCCTTCTTTCTCTTTTTTTTTTTTTTTCGAAGGAGAGGATGGCTTCTTCTATCTCAATGTTGTGGGACTCGATTCGATTGACCGTTCTAATGCGATGAACGCGTAACCAGCGCAGTTCAAACGTCCTTTTCGCTTTAACTTTACAAGGGAGTTGTGTGAAATTTAGAAAATGACTCAGAGATTGAAATAATAAAAGCGTTAATACACTGATTTTAACATAATACATAAGATTTAGCGCCACGATAACATTGAGAACTGAAAGAAAGTCAAAGATGTTGGAAATAAAAATAAATTCGAAGAATCAAATGTTGCGTAAATGCGGCAAAATTTTTAATTGTGATCTAGCTTTCTACAGGATGTGCTCCGAAATTATCAACCAACTCTCCGTACCCCGGTTGGTACAAACGAGATTCGATCGCGACAGCGTTAGAGAAACGAGTCTTAATAAATTATCATGAATTACAAAATATGATTTCACGAGTATGCGAGTTCAGCTCGATTTACCTGGCAGTAAAAGGCGTCGTCGCAGGTAAAGAACGTCGTGACGCGGATATAAGACATGTTTCCTTAATTGGGCGATATCTTTCGACGGCTGCGAGACTCTCCGTCGATTTATCGCCTGTGCGGTTTCTTTAAGGGGCGTGCACAACGTCGAAGGGCCGACGACGAAGAGAGCAAAAGAGAAAAAGAGAGAAAGAAAGCAAGTCGCGTTTGCCAAAGGTCGCGCGAATTGTAAATCGGCGCCATAAATCGAACGAGCGAGGGGAGGTCGAAGGGTGGAGAGAAGGCGCGATCTCGCATTCGAGCGCTTCTAATAGATGGCCGCTATTTTCGCGTACCGGCTTTGCGTTTATCGCGTTTAATGCTCCATTTGTCGCGCCGCGGGGACTCGCGATCTACGCGCGTTGCTGCTGCCGTAGCTGCTGATGCTGCACCGCATCGCCGCCGCCGATTGGTGGTACCGGAAGCGAAATCTGTCCGCAACGGAAACCTGACCTTGACCCTTTCCACGTGCGAGCGATCAAAGGTCGCGTAGGAAAGCGAGTAGACATCAAGAGGGAATTTCGAGATGCTAATCGAAACAGGCTGGTGTTCGCGGTCGACGATGAAGCCAGTGTCGCTTTTAGTATTTATTAGTATTTAATATTTTAAGCTCCACTTGGACAGAGTTAAGCAAAAGAATATTAATAACTTCGATTTTTAACGACTTGGTGGGAATCCCGCGGTTCCATAAACAACGACCATCATCTCCGGCTGCTTATACGATGCGACCATTTATATCGTCGCCATCGATTCTACGAGGAGAAAATTCACCGCTCGTATCGGAACTAAACGCGGTCTTAAAGTCCCCTCTCTCTCTCTTTCCCCTTGTCTCAAACACGCGAGATATCCTGCGGGGTTTGCGCGCGATTTCGCGATATCGCGACGACGGCTGCGCGCGCATTCGTCCTCGATTATGTCGATTATCGATCGCGCGGATCTCGTGACTCTAAATGGCCGGAGGGCCCTTAAAGGGCTCCCCGGATCGAAGGATAGATAGATCGCGCGTCGTACCACCGGCGTCAAACAATTAAGGCTGACTTACGCGCGCCGACTCGCGGCGTTGAAAAGAGCAAACGGGTTACCGCTCGCTGCTCTCCCGCCACGTATCAGATAATGCGGCGTTGTCATCTCGGGAAAATTTACCGGCGACGTCGCGCGGCAGCGGTCGGTCGTCGCCTATCGCGTGCGGCGAATCGCGATTTTACGCGCGGCGCGCCTGTTCGCGCGTCTCGCGTTTTCCCGCGAAAACGCGCGCTTTCGACCTCAGTGCAGCCTACGTACGTGACGCGAGAGCCGTAAGACCGGCTCCTTTTTCACGCCAGCATGTCTCAACGAGTCCTCGTCGAAAGCGCGTTTACAATCGGAGCGATTTTACTTGACTTCCTCGGAATAAAAAGATTTTTCACAATGTGACATTTTTATACAACAAAGGAAGAGATTAGGAGAGTTGTCCATTTTTCTCAAACCATTTTCGAACGGCAGTTTCTTCCCTCGGAATAAAAAGATTTTCCGAGCATTTTTACGACGAGATGAAGAAATTAGCGTTTTTTCTTCTCGATTCTCGGAAGATTTGTAATCGGAATAATGGTTCCTTCCCTCGGAATAAACCAATTTTCCGAACGTGAGAACTTCACGGCGGAAAAAAGGGATCAGCGCTTTCCTTTTCCGATCCTCGAGCGGTCGCGTCGGCGCGCCGTCATCGATGATACGTCTGCGAAATTTTCTCGCGTTTTCGGCCGACTATTTTCTTTGTGGGACAACGACTGAGACTCGTTAAGAAGGCTCGAACTTTCCAACGGAAGGAATCTTCTCACTTTTGCGCGAACGGCTCACGCGAGGGCACAAAAACGCGCGTCGTTTCGAGCGCGGGAGCGAGAGGACCGCGAGAACGAGGCGATCCGTCACGAGAGAGGAGCCGGCACTTCCGAAGCAGGATAATTGCGACTTTCACGAGAGACTTTTTATGACGATCGAAGAGCACACGCGGTCGAAATGGGGTAGCGACCGATATGGAGGTTGTCCGTTCGTTCGTTCACTCGCTCGCGCGGACGTAAACGGAACAACAATTGATGAAATTGCCATCGTGAAAGCGACCGAGGTGCGTTTTCGATCGTGACGCGTCCGCGGTCACGCGACGAGACGACCGACGGGAATTATCCGCTCCGTCCCTTTCGCAAGGATACGCGTGCAACTCGCTCGCTCGCTCGTCCGAGAAGAAAGTGCGAGACGCGACGTCAAAGGGACACGTAAACGTCTTCGCGGGAGATGAAGTATAGGCAGGTTGCGCGAGAGGTGGTTACTCACCTGGCATACAGACGCAGCGAAACGTCCCAGGATCGTCCAGGCAGGAGCCGTCGTTCTGGCACGGATGTGACTCGCACTCGTTCACGTTCGTCTCGCATCGCGGCCCCGTGAATCCTTGCGTGCAGTTGCAGGCGAAGGAGCCGGGCGTGTTCACGCAGATACCGTCGTGCTCGCAAGGAGAGCCTGTGAAACATACAAAAAAGCACGTGGTCGGTTAGAGTCGGTCTATGGAGGCTTGGCTTAAGGTACAGCAGAGGTTGATTTGTTCAAAATCTACGAAGCTGTCGGAGATGAAACCAACGAGGACTTAACGCGTTACTAACCGCGCAAGTTTCGCCTTATCAGCTTCTGAAAACTGTACATTTTATAAAGAGTACGCAGTAACACGTTTTCACCGAAATCTTTACAATTGCTGCGACGTAGAAAAATCAACACAATAAAATCGAAAAGTAAAAATAATTCCTCCGCAGAATTACATTAAAAATGTAAGATGATCAGTCGATCAACGATGATCGAGGAAAAGATAAACCTACCCGATTGGTTGGCGATGTGTTAAAATCAAATATAGAGGGGATCGACTTAAAATCTGGCAAGCTGTCGGAGATATGAGAAAGCATCGCGATGATGAGCCGCGGGAATCTCGTGCGGCCCTCGCGACATCGAACGGTTTAACGCGCTCAATAAAAGCGGCACCCTTTGACACATTCCGATTCGTACCGCTCTCCTTTATGACGACGCGTCGCTCGATATTCGTCCCGCCGGGTAATTGGCGCTACGAAATTCCGACGAGAGGACCGCGGCTCCCCGCTGCAATATCGCGAGGCTCCGCCTCGGTGAAAGTTCATCCGGTTTCGGATGCCCGGGACACGTCGCTCGCGTGGTGCTACCATTTCGAGTGAAACTTTTTCCCGTTCGGCGACGACAACGAGCGAGAAAAGGCAAGGCCGGAGAAAACCGCGCGCGAAACCTTCTTTCTTTCTTAACCCGAGAACCCCCCGTCGGTGGGCGCGTCGATGACTTTTAAACCGTGGCGGCAGCGACGCGAACACGACTTGCATCGATAATTAATAGCTGAATACGGGGCTCGGGCTGAATCTCGTTCCGCGACTTCGTCGTCTCTCCACCGCGCGCGCTTGCACCAACGAGAGAGGAACGAAGGATAGTACGCCTTAATTGGCGAACACACCGCCGACACTTTTTAGCCGCCGCCATTAGGACGGGAGGGGCAAGAGGAACGGACACTTCCTATACCCGATTAACTCGGCCATAAGAAGGAGCATGCTGGTAGAGAGCATTCTCGAAGCAGCAACTCGACGACGGTTCGTTTAAAGGAGATCGCAATTTTGCCCGCGGGACCTCTCTTTTCCCGGAGTGATACTTCCCTCCCCTCGACCCTCGGCGGTTTCCTGTAATTGTAGCGAGATAATTGCTACGGGTGGTTGCCTACCCCGGTGTGTGTCTCTCGGCGAATGAGCGTCGAAGGAGCGCTTCATTGGATGCGCGCGCGCTCTCCTTTCTCTCGTCGGTTTCTTTCCGACGCGATGGAATTTCCGCGCTTCGACCGTGTCGAAGTTATCTTACTCGTTGCATACGCGCTTGTTTTTACTTATGTTGCGTAACGATCTCAAGAATCTCATCCGATATCATACCATTTAAAGAAGATTAAATTAATTCATTCTTAAGAGAGAAGTATTTCTTTCAGTGCTTCAAACATTTATTAAGGATATAATTGTAAATGTAATATTAATTTTACGCAAATTTTTATATACTTACTGACGGCCATTCATTTGGCGATTCGCGTTACTCTGCGCAAAGTATTTCGGTATATTTTCTCGATCGCTCGTCTTATGTTCGCAGATATGCACGCAATTAGCTGTGACACACGCGGACGCTTTTCTCGACGGTGACTGCGAGCGATCGCGAGTTTATAAAGAGGCGTCGCTTTTGCTTCTCTCGGTCGCATACCGGGCTCGTGTAATTCGCCAACGGTTTTTCCGAGGCCGGCGGTAATTGCCGTCGCAGCCGCCGCGTGACGAGCGACAGGGGATGAAAGAGGCCCGATGGAGAGGGTGCGACGCGAAGAAACGCGCGTACGTGTACCACGAATGCGCCATGAAGCGCGCAAGAAGTGCATTCCCGCGCCGTGTTCGCGATCGGGTGACGAGGAAGAAGAGATGACGAATCGTTCTCCGAGAATACCACGTAGCGAGCGTAGTCATCCGAAGAGTCGTCTTTAATATGTCACTGCGTATGCTGGTGATTAAACGCGGCGCTGACGCGGCCCGCGACGAACAATACCGCCTGAAATTCGCCACCGCCGTGTCGGTAACCGTCGAGGCGATTTGAAGCGAGGAAAGAAATTTTCCACGCCACGAGAAAAGATCTTTTTCATGCTGGGATGAGAGACATTTTTAATGCGAGGGAGGAAATTTTTACATGTAAAATTCAAGTGCGACGAATGAAGCATCTGAAACATGCTTCAGAGAACAAATTAGCAATGTCAATAGCGCTGTAAGACAAATTCCAAATATTATATATTGCAGGCATAGGAACGGTTTATAGCTGCCGAAATTAGCGAGAGAAGTGAGTTCCATTCTTAAAAGAATAAGAAAACTTTAAACTCAACCTTAGACATGCATATTCAGACACAATAAAACCCTTTGTAGAAAACAAAAATTAGATTCTTTTGTTTTTAAAGAAGCTAGAATTATTAAACATGAACTTGTGATCGGGTCTTTTCGGGCAGGCTTAAATCGAGTGAGAAAAAAAAAGAAAAAAAAATTAGTTTTTCTCAAAAGTGAGGAAAAATTAGATGTTTCTAAATAAACGGGAAAAGTAAGTCGCTCTCACGCTTGTATATCGCGACTCGTAGAACGCGAGAGTAATTTCCGATGCATGATCTCTTATTTTTATATCGATCTCCGGCGTATCGATCGAACGGACGATTCTTAAATTATCGGAAAAAAAATCCTCAAGCTCGGAAATTTTCTGAAATCACCAGCTACTGCGCTTCGATGTTTTGCAATCGCGATGCCTCCCCGAACTTCCCGGCACGACGGCGCGCATAATCGCTCCGTTACATGCGCCACGAGGCGTAGTTTGCAAGTCGCGCGTTGCATCGCGTCGCACCAGACACGATCGAGCCCGGCCGGCGGCTGGCTCCGCTCCGTCCGAGGACTTCTTGCTCTTTCGCCGGGAGCGCGGCTCGCTTAAGGAACTTAATCTACCAGAAAATATGCAATCTAGATAATAACAGAGCCCCAGCTCGGGCGCGAGATCATTATGGTTGTTATTAAACTTAAAATAACAATTTAGCGTTTAATTAGATTCGTCCATGAGGGCTCCGCGATGCGCATGAAGGGGCCGTCTCCCACCTTAAGAAAAGTGCGCTTCTGTACGGTCAACTCCGACCGGAGCTGGCCCTTCTTTTCTTCTCTCTCCTCCTTCTCGCTCCTCCTTCGAGACGCGACTTCCGGCAAAATTTCATTACACCGAACGCGCTGTCGTCGCGCGTCGAATATGTCGCTACGAATGGCACTTCTTGCTACGAACACTCGGCCAGTCGATACGATTCAAAGGTCGCTTTGTTTCTTCAAACTGCTTCGTTATCGGGATAGTACGGTTATCGTTATACGATAGTCGATAACGCGCAGAAAATAATTTGCCTCGGAAAAGAAAGAAAGATATTTCAGGGGAAAGACAGTCCGCGAGTTCTTTGCGGATATCTGGGTGACGATTGGGTAGAGCGATTCCTTTAGTTGATAATGCAAAAAGATAGACGAAGCGACATTTTTTTCGATAAGATACTCGAGTTGATTAAGAGCTATCGTAGTTAATGTTCCCGAAGTTCCGGTGTCGTCATCTGCTTATAGTATGGCAACTCAAGAATACCGGCAAAATATAAACGAGATTATCTATACGACACGGGGTATGCCACCGGGACTCTTTCTGGTGATATCGACATTGTTGAGGTTGCCAAATTCCGGTGTAACAATAAGCCTTTGTTTAGCCGGTAGATAGCAAAGCAGAGTTCACGGTTTCCGAGATCGTTTCAGCGCAGCACGAAAACGAACGCGGGGAGACGAGGAGGAAACGATCATAAGGGCAGATTTCGTTGCACTTTATCGTATTTGCATTCGCACGCATTAATCGGATCGTCGCTACGATTTTTTGATAGGCGGAAGAAGCAACGGATTTTCGTTAATTCATTGTTCGCGGATCAGAAAACCAAATTTTATATGTAAACTCCGAGAGATCAAATGATAGAAAAAATATAATATACACAAATAAATAAATAAAATACATATTAATAATATGACATACGTGAAATATACGCAATAAAAATAATAAAAATTTCTGATGTCTCGCTAACAGGAATAAATTTAGAAAAAAAAAGAGACAGACGTTACAAGTAATGTTTGCCAGGTCGGCTGAAGAAAATCCTTAATAAGGATTCTTTACTCTTGCGATCCACATTCAAGAAGTGTCAAAAATTCCCCGACATCCTGTCGACCGTCACCCCTTCGCGCGATGAAGGACTTCAGGCGTTTCGACCCTGCTCAGAGCACCGACGATGTAACTCAACACCGGACGACAACGAAGACGACGCGGCGGCGGCTGACCACCTCGTTTGCGGTGAGCTCTCGCTGCGAGTGGTCCGACATTTTCAGAAATCCGGCGCAAATATTTATAAATCGGGAGAAAGAAAAGAAGGCAGTCGCCAGACGACGGTGATCTAGGCTGGGTGAATTATTCGGAAGAAAAGATCACACCGGCGGCGGCGGCGGCGAGAAACGAAAAAGTCTCACCGCGAGAAACGAGATCTACCCCGGCGAATATTCGTATTTACAGATGCGCGAGATCGGTCTTTCACGCACAGCTTACAGGAACGCGAGAATATTTCTTACACCGCGTATCTTTTACGCAAATATCGAGAATCACAGGCTTGGATTAACATAGCGCGGATTTTAATGCGACCGCTCTCGGTTTATAGCCGCTCCGCGAGCGCGGAGGAGCGTTGCGCAAGTTGCTCGGAAGAAAAAGAGGGAAAAAATGTAAGGATTTCGTCGTCGAGCATTAATTAAACTGTCCGTGTAACACGTGGTCACACATTAAGAGGGTGGCGACTTCGCCGACGACGAGGGTAGCTCCAATTATATCGAAATCCGCTTCGCTCCGCGACT